GAGAAGGAAAATCCAGCCCCCTTCTAGGAATGCTACCCAACCCTCCTGGCACTTGTTTCTCAAGAGCTGTCTTGAGATTAATTTTCTTTCACATTTTCTGGAGTCAGTTTGGCTTGAGTCCATGAATTTTCTAGCTAATGGAAAATCTATGTCTACTTCCTGGAGACTCTTTTAACTAGCATTTTCTCAAGTTTTTAATAACTTGAAGGCTTCAGAGTAATCCAAGTAACTGTTCCACCTTCTACCAGCCTGAAAGGGTCATCATGTGGAACTTTAGGGGTAAGAGTTGAGGATGGGAAAAATCTCAGAGATTGTGCATGGAATTTTTGCAACAACGAATAGCAAAGCTATAGAGAAATAAGCCCCAAGGATGTTCTAAGACCTCTCCATAACTTAAAGCTTTTGTCCTTGACCTGTTATTTTCAGTGTGTCTGGGAAGGAAAGACAGTGGGACAGGGGTAACTGATCCATTTGAAAGATTGATACCGGAGGCACAGGAAAGAGAGACTGATGTAGAACCACTGATATGTTGTGGAAAAAAGTGAAAATGCCATCAGAGTCAAGGAAACAGAACATAAAATGATATGGGGATAGGAAAGATCAAGTGAGAGTAGAGCCAGTGATCCTGGTGCCTGAATTCTGGCTCAATATGATTTATTAGAATGTGACTCTGGGCTATGATGTTGTTGTTGTTGTTATGTGCCGTCGAGTTGGCCCCAACTCATAGCAACCCCTCCTTGGGTTTCTGAGGTAGTATCACTACGGAAGTAGGATTGCCCAACCTTCCTTCCAAGGAGTGGCTGGTGGGTTTGAACCGCCAGCCTTCTGGTTAACAGTCAAGTGCTTTAGCCACTATGCTACCAGAGCTCCCCTTTCTCTGATCACCTAGAACCACTAGTCAAGAGCATTTATGTTGCATTTGATACAAATCTGATACTTCACATTATCACATTAGGGAGTTCACTTTGCTTGAGAGCTCCACCCACCCACCCATTCCAGCTTTAGAACCACAAGCCCTCACTGTTTTGCAGATCCCTAAGAACCTTACCTTGCTTCTTTGATGTACAAGTGGAGTGAGAGATGCAATCTTCCCCACCACTTCTTTGGCCTGGGATATTGAAAGGAGAGACAGCCAAGGCATGGGGAGAAGAGTAGAATGATGAGGGGCGGAAAGGTGAGTGTATTTTCTCCTCCTCAAAAACTGGCTTCTTGTCCCCCTCTTACACCCCACCTAGACAGAGGAGGACAAGAAGAACTTGCTTCGGCTGCAAGATCTGGTGGACAAGCTGCAGCTGAAGGTCAAGGCCTATAAGCGCCAGGCTGAGGAGGCCGTAAGTTCCGTTTTCTCCATTCTTTCATCAAAACACCTACTATGTTCAAGAATCAATGGGTGTCTGCCACAGCATGGGCCTGGACAAAGAATTTACTGTTCACTTTAACTCTCAAACTTTGATATACATGTCCCATATACTCAGAGCTGTGTTTGGCACTCTGAGTTAATGAAATCAGTGCTGTGTTTGGCTCAACCCTTGCCAACAAAGAGTTTATCATGCATATACCTGTAAGCCCAAGAGAAGGGAATGTAGACACTAATGCCAGAACCTTGTGGATAGACACTGCTGAAGGAAGGAACGGAGCCAGGGAGACTTTCTTTTTCTGGGATTGGGACTGAAAGGGAACCTGCCTAGGCATGGAGAAGTGGGAAGTCATTCTAGGTGGGCAGAAAGTGTGAATGTTAGATGTTAATGATCACACCTGTGCAAGAAGCCTTGGGGTGGAGGAGTGTTTATCTGAGTTACGGTTGGACAGGTACAATGAAGCTGGATTCTAAGGGGGCCAGGCCAGGAAGTGTGGGATTTATCTTGGGTCGTGGGTGACCATGAGGAAGTATGAGTGCTAGAAAAGTCTGAGGAGGGAGCCAAGCCAGAAGCAGACTACCACTGGGGAAGCTGTTGCAGGAACATAGGTGAGGGGTGAGGCCACTGAGCACCTAACAAGGGGCCAGGTTAGGAAGCTGGGGATCTCCCCACATCCCCTCTCACATCATCCCCTTACCCCACCTCTCACAGGAGGAACAGGCCAACACCAACTTGTCCAAGTTCCGCAAAGTGCAGCACGAGCTAGATGAGGCAGAGGAGCGGGCAGACATTGCAGAGTCGCAGGTCAACAAGCTGCGGGCCAAGAGCCGTGACATCGGTGCCAAGGTGGGCCCCTCCCCCAGGTTTCACTTGTCACCTCCACACCAGCACACCTTGACATGAGTGCCTTGCAGGGTAGGTACTCCTCACCCTACATTTCCATAATGCCTGTAACTTGAGAATCTAGAGTCTGGAACTTCTGCAGAAAGTCCTAGTCCCAAGCTCCTCAGTCACAAAGACCTTTAACATGGGACCCCAAGATCTCTGAGGCTCTAACTGTTCTTTCTCAGGGGGACTCACTTAGGCCCTTGAAAGCTCAAGGTGTTCCTCCTCACATCCTCCTCCCTTCTGCCAGCTGCTCCCTCACACTTTTCGTTCTTTTCTCAGCAAAAAATGCACGATGAGGAGTGAAGCCTGCTCAGGAACCTCAGGAACCTTCTCCTCGTTAACCTATAATAAACATGAGTGTGAACTCTGCCTGAGCCCCTCTGTCCTTCCCGTCGACCACCCATCCTGGAGCAGAGGGGCTGGGAGCAGGATGGTCCCAGCCCCTGTATCAGAACTACAGGAGCAATGCATCTCATGTCCGTAGAGGAGGACACTGAGGATAAGAGAAATGAAGTGTCTGCCTGAGGCAGGACAGCCATGAACCCCAGTTCTGCTCAAGCATATAAAGGAGGAGAAGGAGGAAATTTCAAAATTTCTGATGTAAAGGCACCAAAAGAGTGAGCCAACTCTAGACACTGGGAGGCAAAATTTGGGTGCTGAAGCCGAAGCCACCCCCCACCTACCCACACCCTGTTCCCTCCAAAATGAAAGACCCATCAATACCAGGAGAGGCTAAGGGCTGGCTGGGCATGGAAGAGCATGGAAAGTGTGTGGGACAGGTTCCACACTAGTCAGTCCCTTGGCACTAACTCACAGAAAGTCCCCGTCCCTGACATCCCAGGCTCTGTGAGTCAGAGCTCCACTATGAGGACATCCTGAAACTCTGGGTTCAGTTGACACTGAACCAGAATCAATGTGTGATGTGTGCAAAGCTTTGGCACTGCTCATCTTACACATACACCAACAAGTACAGAAGACATATATGTGTCCCCTCCCTGACTCACACTGCCATTCACTCTGAGGTCCTAGCAGGGACGGTCTGGCCTGGCTCTTGTAGCTGCTCAGTGGTCAGGGCTTGTTCAGACCCCATTCTGCTCAATTCTCACCCTTCAGCTGGACTTTGAGGCCAGGATTCCCTGACCACCTTCTCATCCCTCACACAGGCATCCCATTTTCCAGACACCCTTAGCCAAACCATTTCTATCCCTTCTCAGGCGGAGGACTAGACTATGAGAACTGTGCACAGAGACCAGAAAAACATAAGACCCAGCTGGTTCTAGCCCTGGAGAGGCTGTCAGCTCTGGTCAGGAGCCAGAACACAAGCAAGGGAGAAGGGAGTGGGAGATGGAGAAGTCAGATCTAAAGGGGAGCTGAGCATCAATACTAGGGCCCAACTAGGGCTTGTGGGCTGAGGCTTGCATTGGGAAGGAGCATCAGGGAAGAAGGAAGGGCATTTCAGGATGGGAACAAACAAGTATCAGAGAGAGAATGGACCCACTGAGCTGGACCATCCTAGGCTGTCTGGAGCTAGGAGGGATGTCCTAGGCTGCACTGGGCTATCATGGGATGGGCAAGGCTGATGCCCAGGCTGCAGCAGGTACCTGCTCTGAGCTCCCTCTCAGCTGAGCTGTCTCATGACATTCATCATGGGCAGCCACATTGTCCTTTACACACCTGTCCTTTACACTGATGATGGCCTGTCACCTTTTCCAGTCTGTAAGCTCTCAAGGACAGACTTGCCTGTCACTTTGGAATTTCTGGTGTCCAGTGCATGGTCTTCATGCAGGAAATATTTGCTGAGGATCTGGAAGGTAGATCCACTGTTGGAGGGAGCTGAAGATGAGGCTTGATCATTTTTTCTGAGCTATAAAGGGTCTAATACAGTAACCAGTACATCTGTCTAGGCACCAGGAGAGCTTAATTATAAATAAGGAGGTCATGTCCCCTAACTCGAGCTTAATTTTCTTTTACGTGGAATGAGGGCATCAGACCAGATATCTCAGGGCTCTTCCAGTGCCAGTGTTTTGGGACTCTCAGCCCTTGTCTGATGCTACGGGCTGACCTCTCACCTGTGTCCTATGGGCCAAATCCTCTCCACATCACGAGGCAGAGCTCTACACATGCCCCAGAGGAACACCTCACCTCAAACCCACTAACAAACCAGTGTGTGCAGGTATGGCTAGTAGGCACGAACATCAGAAAGGTTTGTGCCTTCTCAGACACAGAATGCCAGGGCTCCAGCCACCAGCACACCACAAAGTGCTGGACACACAGAAATTTGTGGCATAGAAGGTTTGTGTTGGATGATGTGTTCAGTGTCTTTGGTCTAGCCCTCCACCTCCTCATTGCTCAGAACTGGTCTCAGAGAGGAGCATGACCTGTTTCACACAACATTTCCATAAATACACCTTGGCATTCCTCATCTGCCTGATTTCTGGGGAAGAAAAAGGCTCACCAGTAGGATTTGAATCTTTTAATTTGGGAATGACTTGGGGGCCCCGCTTCCTCCTCACTCCCTCCCTGCCTCCCTCTGTAACACCTCTTCCCTGCAAAGAGCTTCATCAGTAGTTGGATCCCAAAACAGCAGGCTCCACTGACAAGTCCTCAGTGACTTCTCAGGCCAGGCTCTATCTCTGCAGGTATGAGGTGGGCAGCAGTGAGCTTGAGCAGTGAGCAGGTAGGCCAATGAAGCCACAAGAGGTGTGTCTGGGCTATACTGTCCCCTTTATCTGGCTGGGCCTTGGGAGCCAGGGGTCACTGCTGGTCCCCTGTGAAGATGGAGCCAGGCAGGGGAAGGTATGTCAGGATAGGGAAGCTTGGGGAGGGGCATCTCCTTTCCCCAGAGCACAGGCACTCACCTTGGGTGGTCCTGGGTACTATCTCAGTCTGATAGATCTTGAAGGCATCATAGGCAAAGACAGAAACCAAGATGATGCCAAAAACCTGTGGGAGTGGGAGCAGGAATGGCATAACCAAAGCCATGGAATTAGGGGAGAGGAGGTGGATGGTATGGGGCCAGGTGGAAGCTTAAAAACTTGGGGGTTGGGGAGGCAAAGAAAGTGTGCAACCATCCGCCAGAGGTTCTGCAGGGTAGGACTCACAAAAGCAGCAATGGCAGCTCCTTCCCGGGAGGTCACAGCAGCAAAGGAGACCACCAGGAAGATGATGATGGCACTGACACAGCGAAGGAAGTCCTGTGGTAAGTGGGGGGTGCAGGACCAAAGAGAAGGTCAGGGGGCAAGGTGCCATCTACCCTGAAGTTTTGCTTGGCTAATGAGTACCTGACCTTCAGACATTATGAATCCCTACATAGAGATACCCCTGGAGACGATATAAAGAACTTTCAAATGAGAGTTCACACTGCTAACTAGGGAATGGGTACAGATGAATCCTGAGCCATCCAGGGCAGCCAGAGGCCTGGAGTAGACCTGGGGCACAGTGGCTGGAGCTCACCAGTCAGGCCCTGTAGGGGGGAGGGGCATGGCTAGGCTGAGGCTGGACTTTTGTGAGTGGGAGAGCAGAGCTAAGGAACTTCCATCCTCTCACTGTCAGTGACCCTTGTAACTGAAATCAAGGCACTTTTTGAGTGCAAGGCACAGCATGGGGTGAAGCACAGTTCAGATGTGAGGACTTGGCCCCAGACTGCCTGGGCCCAGAATAAGGAAGGAGGTTGAGAGAAGGAAGGGACCAAAATGGGATTGAGGAGGCAGGATTCCTCACCAGACAGGGCCAATTAAGCCGATCAAATCGCTGGTGGTACTGGGTGGCGTAGAGGAAGAGGAAGGCAAGTGTGATGATGAACTCGAGCAGCGCCGCAGCCATGTAGGCAGAGATGGAGGCCGTGAAGCAGATAAAGATGATGAAGGTCAGGGCCTGCAGGGCCAAGTGTCAGGAGCTGGCCAAGAAGGGACACAGCCCACTGGCCAAGTCTTTGCTTTCCTCTCCTCAGGAGCTCCCCAAGGTTGGCATCCCCCAAGAGCTCTAGAAGGTCTTCCCACCCCTGGTGGCAGGAACCACTATTCCCATCAAGGGCAGTCTTCAGCCTCCCATCTCTGCCAGCCCTGGCTACCCCCTGCCCAAGGATCCCAGCAGCCCCAGCACAAGCTGCTTAACTTCAGGGGTGCCATTCACATGGTAATCCACGACAGTAGTGTACCCCTGGAGGGCAGAGTTCATTGTGAACATCAGTCCCTGGAGTTATGGCCATAGCAGCCCTGGGCCCCAGGCAGCATCCCCTTCCCCATAATATTTTCTCCACTCTCTTCTCTAATAAGAAAGAGAGCCCTTGGCTCCACGTTCAGACAAGGCTTAGAAGGCCATGGTGTACTCTGGCGGTCCTCCGGCTCCAATAATGTAGGATGCCATATATGCAGAAGACCCAAGTTTCCTGCTCAGTCACCAGGGGAATATCCTTTCCTGAGAATAGTCTTCAAGGGGCGCAGACAACAGATAAAGTGAAAATGCAGGAAGTCTTCCCATTTTGATAATTAAACTACTTAGATGGGCCAAAAAGTAGCCTTCTTAGAGTCAGGAAAGACAGCCCAGCATTTTCCCCATCCCAACCCTTGTCCCATCCCAACCCTAAGTCTCACACTCCCTGGAATTCCCAAAGAGCAGTCCTTTTGTCTAACTTCAATCCTTTTCACTGCCACTGAAACCTGCGGCAGCTGCCTCCAACTGGGAGGTGGCAAGAGGGTAGAGTAGGAGGTGAGGGAGGGACAGCTGGAGGCAGGAGGGGGTTCAAAGGGAAGGGGGGCTGCGAGGGGTGAGCCCAGGGGAGGCCTAGCATAGGGCCGAGTTGGGGAATGGGGAGAAGAGGGATGAAGCGCCAGGTCGGAGGCGGCTGTTACCAGCTCAATTTCCAGCAGGATGCCTTTGAGAGAGGAGAGGAAGGTCTTGTCCAAAGCGAAGCCCTGGAGCCCTGCAGCTGTCCCCTCCTCAGGGGGCCAGTCTCGGTGGTCCCGAGCACCCAGCATTTCCGTGGAGCCCACTAGGCACAGCACCACACACCACCACCAGCAGTCCAGGAAGAGAAACAGAAACCTGGCAGGATGGGAAAGCAGACAGAAGCAGAAAGGCTTCCCAAGAAACCTGAAAGTGGTCGAGGAGGCCTGCCTGTGGGGTCCAGGGGAAGGCAGCTGCCAGGGAGGCTGCCCAGATATACCCTTGCCCAGCTGCCCAGAGTGCCCTCTCGAGTGCCTGTGCCCAGCCCCTATGGGACACTTGGGGCGGGCAGGGAGGGAAGAGGAAGGGAGGAGTGGCTAACCCCTCCCCTTACTCAGAGCCAACCCTGCCTGGAAAAGAGGAGTAGGGGAAGAGGAGGAGGTCCATGGAGAAACTGGGAGGAGCTGGGAGGTGAGCCAAGAAACAAGCGCAGGCCTGGGTGACCCCCAAGGACCTAAGTCCAAAGAAGTTGCATCCACTTCCCCTAAACTTAACCCTCTTCCTTGACTCCTCCTTTCTCCCTTTCTCTTTTAGGGAGGGTGGGAGCTGGAGTCTGGCCCAGGCAGCATTCCCCCACCCCCAGAACCTAGCAGTAGCAGCCAGGACTAGAAGACAAAGACGGATTGTTGGAGACAAGGGGGCGCTGTGTGCCTGCTGCGGTGCCTCAATGGGCCTCTGTTTCTCTAACATGCTAGGAGGGAGGGCGTGACGCCCCACCCTGGTGCTCTGGGTGAGCCAGAGAGGAGAAGGGACGGGAGGGTGCAGTGGGAACTCCGGAAGGCAGAGAGAGCTGGCAGGATGGGCAGTAGAAGAGGCTGATGGGGAGAAGGAGGGACCAGGCGGGGTACCAAGAGGTGTTTAGGGACCAGAGATGCCAAAGACAAACTAGGTCATTTTAAAACACAGATAATTTATTTGGATAAGTCTCTCCATGCTTCATAGCATCCTCCTCTTTGAAATCACCCATGTCAAAGACAGGTACATACACATGGATATGTGCAAAGGAAATCCTCAGTGAACATCTGATGATTGAATGAATGAATGAATGGTCAAACAAACAAGTGAAAAGAGGGGCTCTCCATTGGCATGGGGGAAAATGTAAAAAAAAAAAAAAAAGTGCCTGTGCTGTAGCAGGGCAGCTGGGGATTGGAGGACAGGAGTGGTGACCTCCAGAAATTGCAGGACTTTGAAGACCTTTCCTGAGAGGATAGGCAGTATCAGGACACCAGCTTCCAGCAGCCATAAGCAGCAACCATTCCCTTCACTTCACCCTGCATTTCTGTCCTCTCTGAAAAGTGTAAAAGTACAGGTTCCTCACACACACACACAAACACATCCTGTCCCAAGATCCTGCTGCTCCATGGAGGTGGTGCTTTGGAGGGGTTGAGCATTTGGGCACAAGCCTCAGCAGTGATGGGCTATGCTGCCCAAAGCTGGCCCAATAATGGCTTTCCTGACGAGGGATTAGCTTCCAGACGGCACCACTAGGCCATCACACGGGGCCGCACACAAACACATGCCAAGGAGACACGATAGAGTCTGCGCTCCAGGCAGTAGCCCTTATGGGCACCTCCCTCTCTGCGGCACCGTCGCCGGTAGAAGACGGTCTGGTTGTGGTAGAGCAGCTCCGAGTTGCCCAGGGGGTCCATGTGGGTGCCAGTCTCTAGGCTGACGCAGTGTGGACACAGGCAACGGGCATGGTACAGGTCCTGTGGGAGCCGGTCCAAGTCTCTGTCCAACCTGTGGGAGTGGCACAATGGTGTCACTTAGGGCTGGGGGAAGCAGTGTGAGCAACACCAGGTGACACTGTCAGAGGGGATAACACCAAAATGACTGTCTGTAACGTTTTTGTACAGTGTTTCAGCAGAAAGTTTTTGTTAAAAAATATCCCTGTAGTTAATTATAACAACAAAAACACTTTTTCTAAAGCCATTTTACATGTATCAGTTTACAAGGAAAGCTAAAACTATGCTAATTTACTTTTGTGACCTTTCTAATGCACTCTGGTCAAAGCTGTCATTATGACCCAACAATTATAATGACGCTTCGAATCACGTGGTTTCATCCGCACACGCTAAAAGAGCATGCTTTTGTTTTCACTACTGCCAGTGTTTTTATAGTTGCTGCTTTTGTCAAATTTTCTGGTGGTTTAGCTACAATAATGTGGTATTTAGTATTTATGAACCTGTATTGGTAACATTTTGAGAATGAAATAGTAATTAAAGGAAAGGAGAAAAATTTTTAAAGGCTTCTGCTCAGTTACTAATAATGTTGTAACTGATAATATTACAATTGAATGTAGAAATATTTTACAAAATAATTTTATTGTGTTTTTTTTTGTTGTTGTTGTTATTTGCTGTCGAATTGGACCCAACTCATAGCGACCCCTCCTTGGGTTTCTGAGGCAGTATCACTACGGAAATAGATTGCCCAACCTTCCTTCCCAAGAGTGGCTGGTGAGTTTGAACCACCAGCCTTCTGGTTAGCAGTCAAGTGCATTAGGCACTATGCTACCAGACTAACAACATTTTATTGTTAGTATTCATATAATCAAATATATTACATTTAAGCAATTTACAACTATATTTACACATACTATTCTATGAGTAAAATTGACAACAAACATTACTAAGGATTCTGTACAGTCTGGTATGGAAGGAAGTCCATGGGGAGCGGTGGGGGGGATACTAGGAGTTATGTCACTAAGTGACCAACCCTAGTTATGTCACTGGGGTGGTACTCCTCAGGATGTTAAGAAGGTAGGGTGGGCTGGGGACAGCAGAAGGGGTTGGAATGCCAGAGGAAGGAAACAGAACAGTAGGCAGCCCGGCTTCTAGTCGCAGCACTAGCACAAACTTGCCTAACTTTGAACAAATCACTCCCACTCCCCTCTGGGACTTATTTTCCCTAACTGCAAATGAGGGTAGGGGACTAGAGAGTCGTTTCCAGTTGATCTAGAGACCCTTACAGAAACAGAGGAAGATGAACAAGGCTGAGCCTCCAGCAGACCAGCTCTGCATCCGTCAGATCCATACACTGGGCTTTGGAATGAGACTTGTTTTTTTGCTTTAATTATGATTTGGGTGAAAGTTTACAGAGCAAATTGGTTTTCCATTCAACAATCCATATACATTCTGTTTTGTGGCATTTACTGTAATCCTCATACAGTAAAAGCATTCTTCCCACCTCCTCCCTATGCCTACCCCTTCCCTTGGTTCTTCCTTCCTATCACCTCTCGCCTTCCTAGCTCTATCCCTGGGCAAATGCTGTCCTCTTGATCTCATGTGCTTAATTGTTGTAATGAGTGCGTACCCTCCTGATAGTACTGTTCACCTTATAGGCCTGTTTATAGTTTGGCTGACATTTGAGTCACAGAGGATAAGTTCAGTTCCTAGCTTGAAGGTTGTCTAAGGGCCATAGTCTCAGGGGCTTCATGAGGCTTTTTTTTTTTTTGTAATTGTTATTACTTTCTAGGTTTGGCTTTTTTTTTTTTTCCACTCTAAGTACAAAAAAGTATAAAGTGAAGACTAACAGTCTTTCTCCCCACCAGTTCCACTCCCCAGAGGGAGCCACTGTCAAGTTTTCTATGTATCCTTCCAGGCAGTATCTGTGCATATATTCTAAGCACGGGTAAAAGTGTGTAGTAAGAATTATTTACTTGTTTCAAAAGGATTTCATGGTCAAAGAAAGATTTGAAAACTACTAATAAGTAGATGTTCCAAAGGTCTGGAACTCAATATCCCAGTAAGAAACAGCCCCTAAATTGTAGGCCCACTCCCCAAACAGACAAGCTGGCAAACTGGGGCCCATCTAGCACAGCAGTTCCCAGTGTGGGTTCCTTAATAAGTACCCTGCAAAAAAAGGGGTGTGGAGGTTCTGTGGCCAAATGAGTTTGGGAAACACTGAGTTTAATATTTTCTTTTCCGTAGATGTCTTGCAGCCTTCAATATGCTGAGGGCATTATTGAAACTCCCAGAGGGAGGAGCTGGAGTAGCCTTCCCCAAATATACTTCACATTGTCACTTTTTTTCTGAGGAGCAGCTTGTAGAACTAGTTGCACAGAATACACGTTGGGAAGGAACAACTAAATGTGGGAAGGGACAACTAAATGGTTATCAGGGGTTTACACCTTCCAAAGAGGGATCTAGAGCCCAGCTGAGTCAGCCATTCCCTAAGGGGATCTCACACCATCAGATCTGGCTCAGGTTCTAGCCTGCCTTCTGAGACTGCCCCAGAACATAGTAGCCTAGAGTCTCCACCCTGGACCTAAACACCAAAACCAAACTCACTGCCGCCGAGTCAGATCCGACTCATAGTGATCTCTCCTTGGGTTTCCGAGGCAGAATCACTACATAGATTACCCAGTCTTCCTTCCAAGCAGTGGCTGATGGGTTTGAACCACCAGCCATCTGGTTAGCAGTCAAATGCCTTAGGCACTACACCACCAGAGCTCCCTGGACCTAGTCTCAGTTAAAGCTAAACCACTGTCTACTGAATAGAACTTCATCCATCCTCAAAGCCAAGGCTAAGCCAGAACTAGACTTCTAGGGAATGGGAACACAGACACTAAGAGAGGACACAAAACAGAAGAAAAAATATGTTTGGAATCCCTAAGGCCATAATTTCTAACACTTTGCTTTTTTGTACCTATTTCAGTGCTTCCTAATATTTTTCACACTCATGGCACAAATACAGAATTGCAATATTTGGGTGGCATACTGAGGGAAAGAATAAGATTGCTTATGATCAGAGATAACCAGTTACCCAGCTGTCCACAGGGCTAAGATTTCAATATCTTAGTATATGTATAACCTACCTATTCACGGCCCAGGGAAGTCACATTGGGTGTTGGGATACTTTGTGCCTATATCATACCATTATGCCCTGATATTTTAGAAGAATATGGCCACTGTAGGGATATGAAAAAAAAGAAAAGAAAAAGAGAGAACCAATATTTCCTGTACTGAGTACAGATATTTATGCACATTGACTTATTTGATCTGCACATTAGATTGAACTGGAAAATATATGTTGTCACCAAAAAAAAAAAAAAAAAAAACCTGAGCTTTGGAATGTTGAGTAATTGGTCACCCTATAATAAGAGTCAGAGCTAGGACTCAAATCCTGGCCTCATTTAACTCCTAAACTTTTTTGGTCTTTCAGAGATAAAAAGGAGAAGGTGGGCTGGATTTAAGGAGCTCTGATGGCACCATGGTTAAGCACTTGTCTAATGACCAAAAGGTCAGTGGTTAGAACCCACCAGCCTCTCTGGGAGAAAAGATCCAGTGTTCTGCTCCTACAAAGACTCCAGCCTAAGAAATCCTATGGGGCAATTCTACTCTGTGACATTGGGTTGATATGAGTCAAAATCAACTCAATGGCACACAGCAACAATGGGCTGGACTTGAGTGGGACATCCCTAGGCCTTCACATAGACCCTGAGCAGCACAAGGAGAGGAACAAGACATGAAAACATTTGAGAGGGAAAACAGCAGACTCACTCATATCTCCAGGGGGAGATGGCCCTGCTGTTAAGGGGTCCGTCCTCACTGGCCTGGCAGGACTCCATATGGTGGATGAGGTTGGCAGTCTCCGGAGGAGTTACCACCACAGGATTCCACTTTAGCCACTCCTCAGAAAAGTCGTGCCTTTTGCTGGGGCAGCAGCTAGGCTGGTGAGAACTGTCCTTGTGGAGCTGCAAACTGAAGATGTGGGTCCCCCAGACCATTGCCAGGACTGTAACCACCTGTAGGAAAAGGCCAGTGAGAGAACTGCTCTCATGTAATCTGAGTCTCCCTTTCCCTCAACCATTCCCACGGCTGCTTCCTGAGATCCTGGTTTCTAGCTCCACCCAGCTCCCAGCCCCAGGCCAGGCCTGACTCCACCCTCAGCAACACTTCTGCTCCTTCCCTGCTCAGCACTGTCCTCCGTACACCCACCTTATACATGCCGGCTGCTGCTCACTTGGCCACTAGTTGTTCACTGGCTGGCAGGTAGGGCCTTGTGAAAGCAGGCTGACTAGAGCATTTTAAGCGTCCTGGTTTTATTTTGAGCAAACCTGTTTTGGTTATTCAAATTTATTTCCACTACCTTTTGGAGCTCTGGTGGCGTAGTGCCTAAGGCATTTGACTGCTAACCAGAAGGTTGGCGGTTCAAACCCATCAGCCACTCCTCCGAAGGAAGGTTGGGCAATCTACTTCCTAGTAATACCGCCTTGGAAACCCAAGGAGCGGTCACTATGAGTTGGATCTGACTCAATGGTTTTTTACCTTTTGGAGGGAATGCCCTGAGATTAAAAACAAAACAAAACAAAAAGAACTTGAAAGTGTTTGCAAAAGCTGCTTAAAATGCTATGCTCATGGAAGTTGTGATGAACTTTATAATAAGCCTGGTGGCCTATTGCGTAAATTTTGCTCTTTGCACTTTCCTGAGCGTGGGGTTAAAGCAATGGTGTCCTGCTAGTCTGTGCCTTTAGGAACTTGCATTATGGGAATTTCCATGGTTGGCTTGGCACCCAAAATTAGAGAATGTCATCAGAGAGGCCGCACTACCATGATCTCTGTTGCTCCCCGCCCCCACCCCCGCCCCCAGGGTCTTGTTTCCACCATCCCCCTTCTTCTCAGGTCTCCTCCTCATCACCCACCTTTGTGAATACTTCCCTCCCCCTCTATTTCCTTTGACCCCTATCCTTTTTGTTCTCTAGCCCCTTCCCCATTTTCAGTGGCCCCATGTTCTATGGTCCCCATCATCTATAACTTCTCCCCCACTGTTCATTACCTGCCGCCTAACTTTCCTGTAGAAGAATCCCTGGTGTGCAGGAAGAAAGATGTAGCAGCTTGCTCCCATAAAGATTTACAGCCTTGGAAACCCTATGGGGAAGTTCTACTCCATCCTATAGAGTCGCTGTGGGTAGGAATTGACTTGATGGTAGTGTAACTTCCTTCTACCCTCTGCTGTGGTCACCTCCATCTCCACACTTTCACTGACCCTTTCTTTTCGAATAGGGATACAAGCCTAACCCACAGGATTGCCAGGAAGGCCCTGAACCCCATCAGTTTGTAGGCTGGATGCACAGAAGCTGTGGGTGACTGCTGCCATTACACAAGTGGGAAAGTGACACAAGGAAGATGAGGCGCGTGGAAACAGCCTCACTTTAGACCTAAAGAGGACGTCACAGATCTAGGCACCAACCTGCCCCCACACCCACAAGCAGTGTCTTGGGACAATGGGTAGCCCACTCACCTCAGCCCTCCCAGCTACATGGGCCACTGTTGGTCAAGAGGAAGTATGTGTGCTCCAGAGAGCCTCAGAGCTGGGCTGACCCAAAAAGCCCAGGTTGGCTGGGGTCCACCCAGCTTGGGAAGCACCACACAGAGAGCAAGAACAGGCTGGGAATAGGCCTTCGAGTTCTATTCTCTTCATCCTCTCCATCGACCCTCCTCATCCCCCACACCCACGACACCCTCCACCCCAACACATTCATACACAGATATTGTATCTAGAATAATGTTTCCTGATTTGCATGTGCTTTCCCTTAGAAAATACTACTCTGGTATCTAGGGACTCAGAAAATAAACAAAGAGAACCAGGAATAACTTAAATTGCAATAAGGGGGAATCCTTGCAAATGCTTTAAGGCAAAGCAGAAGAGTGATGGGGTCAGGGGGCATTCTGGAGAACTGGGGAAGTAGTGAGGTTTCAGTGCCTGGAACTGTGGAAGGAGGGGGCCTTAGGGTAACCAGATGGTGGCTGGGAGAGCAGGAACACTTAAAAACAATGAAGCCAGGAATATCATCACCCCATTCCCATTCCCCATCCTCTAGCCCTTGTGATCCCATACCTTTCTCCCTTCATCACTGGCCCTGTATACACATCATCTCATTTAATCCTTATAATAAAACTGTGGGATTAAAACTATTATCCTCATGTTACAGATGAGGAAACAAATCCAAAGAAATTCAGTTCCGGTCCCAATCAATTCCACATCTAAGCTCCTGACATGGAGGAGACATGCTGGGCTACCCCACTCAATCAAAAGACAAACTCACTGCCATCAAGTTGATTCCAACTCATAGTGACCCCCATTGGGTTTCCAAGGTGATAAATGTTTACAGAAGTAGATTGTCCCATCTTCCTTCCACAGAGCTGCTGGTGTGTTTGAACTACTAGCCTTCTGCTTAGCAGTCAAATGCCTTAGTTACTGAGCCACCAGAGCTCCTTGGGCCACCCCACAGTTACCTGCAAATAGAAGGGGAGCCCCTGCAGCAAATGCTTTCCTACTAACTTGGGGTTGGGCTGGGACAGGTCTCACCTGTACTTGCCCAAGGCCACAGGGCATACTTGCCCACTTAGGCATTTAACCCTGGTGGCTGGGATCCAGTGTTCCATCTTCCTATCCCCTAGTGTCTGGCACATGGTCCCAGGGTGGTTTCTGGTGCTCCTCAGCAACTCCCAGCCCACAAACAGGGTCTTAGGGAACAGTGTTGCTTCAGAAAACCTGGATCCCTGTGGATCTCCTTGAAACCAATCAGATCCTCAGGGCCTAGGGAACAGAATTGAAGCCTAGCCTTGGCCCAGATCTCCCAATCTTGGTCGCTGACCAGGAGAGGTATTCAGAGGACCTGGAGGTGACCCCAACTACTTGTTTCACTTGCTAACACTGCAGAAAGGACCCAGACTGGGTTACTGGGGACAATGTCCCACAGGAGAGACCTTGAGATATCCCCTAGCTTCTATATCAGGCCGTCCTCTGAGGACACCCCTGACAAGCAGAGAGACGGCCCTTCCAAGCACACAGTCTCCCCAGGACTGACTTTTCTCACTCCGTGATGCCCAGGCCTGACCTGAGAACCTGTGCTCTGAGCCACACACCCCCAGCCCACTCATTTGTTCACTCTCTGCCCTTATCTCAGTAGCAGCTTTGTGGAATCCTTAGGTTGACTCCCTGCCATGAGAAACATTTTCCAGAGAGTTTTCCTCCTGAGGTGACTGGTTTTGGAATTCCTGAGTCACTTCAGCTTCCAGAGAATCTTTGGGGGTGTGAGGAGATAGGGGTGGCAATGGGGAGAATGCTGGAGGTGGTGCAAAGGAAAGTTTGCCCAGCACCTGACATCAAGAGTACACTCCCAACATGTCCCCACCTGTCCAGACCTGACCTAGCAACCAGAGAGGCTTGCTGGGATTCCCATTCCCATGCCCCTGGAAAAAGAGATCAAGAAAGGGCGGAGAAGATGTGATGGAATATATTCCCCATCCTTGGCCTAGAAAAGGCTCTTGGGGCTGGCAATAAGCAAGAATGTGGCCATCTTGCCCCTTCCCAGAATGACATTCAAGTCCTCATCTGCTGCCTTGAATTTCTGACCCTGCTTCTGACCAGCTCTTGACGTTGGAACCTCTCTGGTCCTCCCTCCTCATCTATATAAGCAGGTGGAAGGGCAGAATGTGACCTGAATGGCCACAAAGTACCAACCAGCTTAACTGCTCTAGACCTCAGATCCTGAAATAGTACTGAATGCCACAGGCCTCAGCAGGGTTTATCAAGGTCCATATGTAAAGCTGGAGCACAGGTTGTTAAAATGTTTCTGCACCTGCTGGTAAATAGATACTACCCTTAGCCTCCTGAGATACCTCCTGTTCTGGTTACCTAGTGCTGCTCTGACAGGAATATATACCATAAATGGGATGGCCTTAACAAACAAGAGTTTATTCTTACAATTTAGAGGTTTTAAGTCCAAGTTCAAAGTGCCAGGCTCTAGGGGCTGCGTGAAAGCCCCTCAATCTTGGGCTTCAGCTCTGCTCTTGCTCCTGGCCCACTGAAGCTAGAGGTATCTCTTCACTCGGGCAGCTACTAGCTGCTGAGGCTAACAAGCCCAAGGTCGACAAATAAAATGGCACAATCCTGATGTTACCAAACCACACAGCAGGCCATTAATTCAAGTCTATTGTAAGTCCCAAGGTCAGCAGAGCATGCAGGCTGCTGAACAATGACACAGCTACGTGCAGGGTCCAACCATGCCATAAGCGAGAGACTATCCCAAAGTCTTCTCCTTATATATAGGAAAAAGACCACATCCCAAAGGCAGCTACTCAGTTGCTTGTGGTAGAGCCCACCATGGAGTTGATTTCCAATCTCAGCATGAGGAATAACTACCACCAGCTGCCCAGCCACTCAACCAGGCCCAGCCAAGTTGACGTACAAATTTAACTACCACACCTCCCTACCATGACCTCCCTGAAGAAGATGTTTAGTTACTGTGATCCAATAACTAAAGGGTGAATACTTGGCATAGCTTCCCCTGGAATCTGGCTTAAATCTTGCTTCTGTGTTTTGATTAGTAGGTAGTCATAGTATTGGTTGCTAATTTTTTTTTTTTTCCCCTCTCTTACCCTATCTTTCATCAGGTAATAGATATTTATTGCTTTTTAAAAACTTCCTTTAGGGAAGCACTGAACATCAGTCATATATGCTTTAGTATAAATAATATAGGATCCTAGAATCTCAGGGTTAGATAAACCTTAAACTTTATCTACTCTGTAGTGGATTGAATGGTGAACTTCTAAAAATTACCTCCATCTGAAATTTGTGAATGATACCTTATTTGGAAAAACGGTTTTTGCAGATATAACTAAGGTAAGAATCTTGAAATTATCTAGGTTACCTGGGTGAACCCTAAATCCAAAGATAAGTGTCCTTGTAAGAAGAGAAGACATAAATTCAGAGGATAGGACCATGTGAAGATGGAAGCAGAGAATGTAATGATACTATTAGAAGGAAGCCAAGAAACACCAAGAATTACT